GTGCAGCCGCCTGCACCGTGCGTCCCTCAACGCGCCGACCATTATGCTGCTAGCTCTCTTGCTCCGGGGCCCTTTCTGCTTCATGCTTCCTTTTTCCCGAGGTTGAAGGAGGTCGTGGTCGACCGCGCCTTCTTCGAGCAGCTCTGCCGGGAGCCCGCCGCAGCTCCCGAAGCCCCGGATAGGGGCTTTGTGCTCCGGAGGACACAATATTTTAGGAAGATTTCCTTTAATGTCAGTTTTCCTTTAAAAGGGATTTATTTACAAGAAATCTTCCTGAAGCATTACGCAATTTTTTCTTTGAAGGTATTTTCCAAAGGGGATATTTTTATTTCAAAAGTATTTTGACAACGTACTTGAAAGACATTACTTGAAAACTGGCTTCTAAGGCGCCTACCAAGGTTCTTGTTGCAAACAAGTTTCTGGTTCAACGCCTTAGAAAAATATTGTACCAGTTTTTCAAAACTCATTATCTACAACTACACATACACCTGCAACAAAAGGGTATGATAGTATCTAATGTATGCGACAATTCATTTTGTTTTCTCTGTGCTGTTAGATTGCTCACCCATGTTTATGTTTATGTGAAATCCACAACCACGGTAATTACATTGGTTTTTGATATTTTCTACAAACCATTCAACATTTACATAGCCTTCTTTAAGAATGGTTCTTTTTGTTTTCCTGTCCTGCATTTTGGTATTATTTAATTTTCCTTTCAAAATAACTCATGATAGATTGCTGGTTGAGTTCATCCTTTTCTCTCACTACTGTATTTGAAAAACCTAACTTTATTTAAATCTCTGGCTCTTGTGATGCAAGTATATAGCCATTCTGGGTATTTTTTTCACTAAGAAGTGGTTGTAATCAAAAATTGTTATTTCAGTATCCACTGGCTGACCTTGCATTGAATGCGCTGTAGCACACCAAGCAAAGATGAAATTGTGTCTAACTTTTTCAATATCTATTGCTTGAATTATTTTGTTGTTTATGTTCTTCAACTTTAATATGCCATTTCCTTTATAGATGATTTCATACTGAAAAATCACATTAAACACACTTTTGAACTTGTTGGTTATAGTATATTCCCTGCATGTTAAGAACTCACCTACGTCATATTCATTCTTTTCTATTTTCTAATTTCCTTATTTCTCTTGATACAGTTTGCATGTATCATTCAAAAATGCTATGTTGTTAGGTGATGATGTAATGTCATCAGTGTATGAAAAATGCCTTTCTGTAATTTGTTTTGTTGATAGTTTCTTTTCAAGGTGATATTGTAAGGGAAATATTTCTGGTGATGCTATTAGCGTATTATTCATGATTTTGGGTGTTTGTCAATTCTTGCACTGAGCGCAATTGTTTTGCGTCACCAGTTGTAATGATTATTTTATTATGTTTGCTCTGCTCTACAAACTGTTTTTTCCAGTATACACTTAAGCAACTAAAATAAACCTCACCAAACACTATAACATCATAACCTGAATAATCAACTGGTTCTAACTTGACATCACCAAAACTAACACCAAAGAAAATATTGATTGTCAAGGTTTCACCTTCAAATGTTTGTAGTAATTTATTTGTAGGTGTTACAAAAATTACCTTTTATCAACCATTTTCTGACATATAAACGATTTGCCACTTCCTGCAAAATCTGCTGCAATCATCATTGGGTTTTTTTCTTAATTACTTCTATAATTTCATCAGTATTGTATTCATCCTTTACTTCTACTTCTGTATGTTCATAAGTTGATATTTCAATCTTTTCATTTGTTGCAATTTCCTACTCTATACTTGGCAGTTTAATATCATCTTACTTGCTAATTCTCCTCCAAATTCCATAATGGAAATTTAATATCTCCTTTGTCCTCTCCTCACTGGGGCCAGTCGGTGTTGATGGTCCTGGCGTATCTTGGCCAACTTTGTGGCCTGAAATATCCTGACTCAACGGTTGTGTTGAAGCTAGCCTTTGAGCCATGTTGGGTTTATGTGGGGCGTATGTTGAGCCTATGGTGGAACGAGTTGAGCTATGTTGAGCTATGTTGAGCTGTGTTGATCTATTTGAAGGATATTCATGGCCTATTTTGACCAACTTTGTAGCTCGAAGGAGCCAATCTTGGGCCTATGGCGGGTCTATACTGGGACCATGTTGGTATCGATGGTTTATCTTGGCCAGCTCTTTGGCTCGAAAAGCAAATCGTTGTGCCTTTGTTGGTACATACCAATGGGGTCTTTTACTTTCATTTACTATACCTTTTTGCTTTTATTTTGCTGACTCTAGTGCCTCAACGCGTCTGAGTACCATATAGCCTTCAAGCCCAGTGCTCCCAAAACGGCGCCCTGCGCGGATGCAAGATAGAGTGCAAAGGGACCCGTGCTGCATCCCTACAGTATGGATATAAATACCAGTACCCCAATGACTTGACCTCTACATTCTCTACATCATCATATCTCGTCATTCGTGACGATTCCATACGATTCCTATCAAAAACCATGTGACGTTGGTAGCGGCTTTCACCTGCCAGTCTTGTTGCTGTGCCGATGATTTGGACCCTGATCCAGGCCAAAGATCCTCGGAGCTTGGAGGCACCTAAACATGAAACTGCGGAGGAAACGCCAAAACAAGACTCATTGCGATCATTGCGCATTTTCGAAGCTGATTGAAGTGATTGAAGTGATTGATGAGTTGCAAAGCTTTGGATCATTAGGCCGCGGTCCGGTGAGGCTCCTCACACGTCAGGATTTCTTCAGCTGGTGAAGCTGGGAAAAACGTAACGGTCCGCTGTCTTCAACGGTGTCAACAGTTCCAACATGTTTCAACCCATGATTTGGGTATGGGCGGTATCGGCTTGGTGGGTTCTCCAAAGAGATGGTTGCTGTGATCTACACCCGCACTCCAGTTTGAATGACAGACCCTCCGTGAATTTCTGGCTTGAAGCTGCAACAGTCAAAAGTACCTCGTATTGATTCAGGAAAAAAGTCGAAGTCATGTTCATAGCATTTGGCACATTTGGGCACATAATCCCAAGCACTTGACTGCGGATGATTGGATTCTTTTTGACGTCTCAATGTGCACCTCAAGGGCCATCGAAAGCATGTGTAGGTTGAAGCATATTATGCATATTCATATGCTCAGTATTTGGAAGGATGCCTTGAAACAGCTTAGAGCAAAGCTGCAAATGTTAAAATCGTTTAAAAAGTTTTAACGCCTCGGCGCGACTTCTTGCTCTGAAGCTAAGCGCAAGGCGGCCTTCTGTGGTGGAATGTGGGGCGCTGCATGTGGGATGGATAGGATATTTTTGAAGCTCAGGGAGTGTGACACACGGTGACACGCACACCATGTTGAGCTCAACCTGCGCAGAGGCCATGACATCCATGAGACGCGCTTTCGGATGTCGGCAGGCTGGTGATATGTCTGATCAGTGACCAATTTGTTCATTTGCTTGAACATGTTTGAATGGTCAAATGGAGAGGCCATATTCATCTTGTCTTGTTTCATCTTGTTTGATTGGCAAATCTAGAGATTTGTCCGGAATCCTGCTAGGTGCGATGTTTTGCCACCAAGACACTCCAGGCACTGGTCACCACACCATACTCAAGGTTGAATGAGAGAACCGACTTCTGTTGCAACACGTGAAGTTCACAACTTTGTTGAGTCATGGGCTGTGAGACATGACAACTACATGCGTTCCTCTTCCATGAGATGAGGTTTTTCAACATTTTTCAACCAGATATGTTCGCTACGCTGCTTTGAAATCACTTCAGCGGTGAACAAGACATGTGACATACGCAACATCAATTGGATCAGTGCCCCCAGGGCCCCATGTCTCCGCGTATGGGTCCCTGACATTGGCCTAAAACTTCGCAGACCTTCCAATTTGCTGAATCAATGATGACTTCAACAAAGACAAAACGCAACTAGCAAACCATAACAATATATAAGAATACTCTCAATAAACATCAAGAATAGGACCAATAAAAACTGGTTGCTATACCCAAGGATAATTTAGAAGACTGCGGATAACATGTATTGTTTATTGAGATTCTGTGATTCTGTGATTCTGGTTCCTTATGATTCTTATCCAATTTCTAATTGACACCACAACTTACGCACCTTAACGAGGAGATGTGGGCCGCCGGCGCCTCCGTCACAGAAGTGGCGCGGAAGCCCAAGGGCCGAGGTGAACAGAGGTAGGTTGGGTCGGAAGAAATCGGAAGAATACCATTGGCTAACCCAAATTCACCTATTGGTAGATATTGGTAGCCTGGTAGCAGCAAGTAGCATTTGAATTTCACAATATTTCATGATTTCATTTGACAACATGAATCAAAACACCAGACATCTTTTGCTTGAGTGGTCGCCATTCGCTGGACTGTCGTGTTTTGTCTTAGACTAAAAAAAGTGCTTAAAGGATCCGATGGAGGTTGAACGAATTGGATTCAACCCACGGTGACCTTAGGCTGAAGAGAGTTGCGCTCGCGCAGCTGCCGCGGACCGCAACGTGCTGCGCTTGGAGCGCGTTGGTAACGGTGCAGCGGTTGAACCCGCAGGTCTTTTTGATATTTGGTGATTTGGGGTATGGTTTTACAGGAATAGATCTAAATATATCTAAGTGACATTAAATGACCCAATTTTGTTCAGTTCAATCATGTTTAATCATGTTTAATCATGTTTGATGATTTGACGACGTTTTCTTCACATCCGTAGTTTGCTTCGCCATACCATGTGCCTTGCCGCATCTCTGAGGAGTGGATCCATTTGATTCCCAAGAACCAGGCATCGAGTTCGATGGTGGGCGATGTTAATACCAGAAAATGTCAGAAAGATTGGTTAATTCATGAAAGATAGGTTAATACATGTTAATACCAGAAAATGGTGGGTGATGAAAGATTGATATTTCTTGGTTGATTGAGATGAACAACACGAACCACACTTGGTGATTGAATTGGTGTTTGACTCATTTGACTCGGACAGATGATGTCAGGTGCTTGAACGAGCGGAGATGTTGGAAAAGCGAGCAGCTTCCATGAGTCAGGAGCTGGAGCAGGGGCTGTTTCCCACGACTACCAGCCCAGGTTGGTTGATGTGCCACGCTGAAGCAGTGAATTTAAGAGATGAGGTAGAGTTAATCAGTGATTTCATTCTGTTTATATCAATGATCTTTGCAGATTTCATGTGCCTAATTTGACGATTTCAAGGATGTTCACAGTGTTTGAAACCTCTCGAAACACGATACCGCCCGTGGCCAGGAGCAAAGACAACAAGAGCTTCCGCTCCTTGGGACGACCTTCGCCGTCAAAGACAACTTGATGGTCCGCTCATTTACACAGATGGTTCTGTTCCAACTGAAATGTGTCCGATGTTTTTTTAAAACAGTTTTTTTTTGTACAAATGGTCTGTGACACGACAAGATTTTGGGTGTTTTAAGCGCCAACTGATTTGGGACGAGATTCGAGCGTGGATCTATGTGGATCTTGTGGCATTTCTGCCAGGTGAAGGACGTTCCCAGCACCAACGCCATGGATTTGCGACCGCCCAGGTTCGCTAAGAGGATGGTCACCTCATTTTTTGCATAGATCTTGGGGTGATACAAAGGGGAGAACGATGATGAACGATGTACTGTATATATAGATGGCTTTTACCTCCTAATTTCCAATTTTCAAAGTTTTCTATCCATCTTTTTGAACTTGTCAGTGTGATAGTGACATGCTGTGCCGTGATTAATATTCTAACGTGGAGTCTGCATGCAAAACAAAAAGCGTCGATTATTTGAAATGTGTTTTGACCAACTTGCTGCTTTCCAGCAGCTTCTGATGTGGTTCAATTGTTACCTTTATGAAGTCATCTTACACTTAGTTTAGACATTTGGAGGGCGTTGCATGACCCACTGAGTGGCTCACATTCACAGTGCTTGTGTTTCAGGCGCGCGCCCATTGCACACGAAAGTTCGAGCCTCAGTATGAAATCATGATCTCATGGCTAGCCACCAAGATCTTGACTTTCCAGATCAGTTTTACAAGATGTTCAGTTTTGCCCGGAAGTACCTTCTTCCTGTTGATCGAGCGAGGTGCTGCCGTGGTAGAAAAGCTGCAGGCAGATGTGAAGAGATGTGATTCCAACTCTGAAGTGTCCTAGTGAGGTATCTTAAACAAGCAAAGGCCTTAGGAAAAAATATGAAACACACAAGCGTTTCAGATTTATCTCCAACGGTGTCTGCTTCTCTTTTGGTATCAGGATATCCATTTTCGCCCTTACCACAGAGGACCATGGCGCACTGGTCATCGGCAAGACGAACCTGGACTGCGCCGCCACGGGGCTGGTGGGGGTCCGGGCACCCAGGGCTTCAATGTTTAAAATGTTTAATGCGGATGTGGGAGGTGTTTGAGCTATTCAAACAATATTAAAACAATATTCTCTGATATTATGTGATTATTAGTCATTATCATCACTATCATTCTTGTTGTAATTATGATGCGGACATGTGCAGGATAGAATGGGAAGGAACGCCGTAAAGGTGTGATGATCAGACGATCAGACCTCAAACCGTTCGCATTCGCATGAGGTTCGATCGCCTTATGGCGCTTGCCAGAACTCATTCGCAGGGCGCTCAATGCGAAGCCGACTTCGATTTGAAGATTTCCTTCACGATTTCCTTCGTGTGGACAGCTTGTACATTCGATTCAGTGTCTCTCCAAGATGTGCACACATACCCCATGTAAAGAGGATGCACCAAGCATGTTTGAACTTGGCAACCTGTTCTGTTGGCTGCCCAGGATCGTGAGTTTTTGTCTGGTGGTTCTTCCTCCGGTTCCGGAGTGGCAGTGGCTTTGGGACAGGTGCCACATGGTGCCATATGGTGCTACATGCTGCCACTGAACTTTTTGATGTAACGGTGATCAGCAGATATTCAACTGATGTATTCAACTGATATAAATATGATATAAGCATGCTATGACTATACGTATGTATCGTATGATTTAATATCACAAACTGATCACCACCACGGTGCTCTGACGATCACTGACGTTTCGAGAAAGGTCAGCTTTTCTTTGGGCACCGACACCGCTGGCAGCGGTCGTGTGCCCGCAGCGTTGAATAACATCGTGGGCCTCAAGGTGGGCTCCAAGCAGACTGAGAAAACCTATAGACGATCCCACTATTGGATGGATCTGTTACCAATAGTTTATCCAGTTATCCACATCAATTTTTGATTTGAAGTTTCCAGCATGCGTACCCCAATTTTGAACAAGATGTACCTGTAGTTTCCTGCGCATTCTGATTTGTTTTCCTGAGTTTCCTGCTTTGCTTGTGGCAGGCATCTCGTGGTCTTTTGTCAACCCATGGGCTGCTGCCCGCTTGCAAATCACTCGAAGCTGGGCTAAGATACTCCAGAGAGATTCCTTCGACTCGTTTTGTGATCCATTGCGCCGAAGACTGAACCATCCGCACCATTTGCATTTCCGTGGTAAAACTGGTGAAACTACCTGCAGAATTGACACACAGCTCGCTATAGCCGCTCTCCCAAGTCCCAAGGACTGTGTGTCGATCTTCTCTTTGACCGTCTTAGAGGCCCAGCGTATCATGGAGATGGCCGCCAAAGCATCGGGCGCCGATCCCTGGGATCGACCCGCCAAGGCTCGCGGATATCGCTATCGATATGGAAATGACATGTGACATGACATGTGACATCAAAAAGTGCCCAAGGATCCAACGTTTCTTAGCCGAACTTGGATGAGTGGATGAGATCTATTGGATGAGGATAGTTGGCAGAAGAATAGTGTTTATCTTATTTAGCTACAGTAGCGCCCATTGGGATGGTTTTAGAAGTTTTTCTTGATGAGTGGCACCAGCTTGCAACTTTGAAACATCATGAAACACCAAGCCGCTGGTGAGGACCTGGCACAGGGGCCTCGATTGCCACCTTCCGGTCCTGTGAACTTCCGGTCAAATGCCCAGATGGGAGGTCTCGGTAGGTCTGGGTCAGATGCTTTCGAAACATGCGAAACTTCAGCAGAAAAAACTGGGTGATCTTCTGGATGGTTTCGAAATGTTTCGAATGTTGACAAATGTTGACAAATGTTGACAACTTGGAATTGGACGCGCTGCTCCACCGTCGCAACTTTTTCGCACCTGTTCGGCGAGGTTTGGCATTCCAAGTCGACCCTTTGTGGATTTCAATAGCTTCGGATCAGCTGCGCAGGTTCGACATTGTTCGACGCTGTAGAACGAACAGCAGAAAAGTAGAAAGCTTGATCTTCTTGCGAAGTTAGTGTTGTCCAATCCTTCCTGAAATTTCAAGAGTCTATAGAAGTGGATGAATCAATATGGCTTGATCTCCTATCTCAATCCATCGCACACATCACTCATACCATCCATCAGGTTAGCTACATTATGAAAGATGATGATTTGGGATTTGCCACGGTTTTTTTTGCCTTGATTTTTGTTCCCCCTTTTGTCACACCGGGTCTGTTTCAGGCGCGTGCTCAGCAGTACGCAGAGGCCTGGGAGCGTTCCGTCGAAGCCGTGAAGGCTATCGGTGGGACCTGCGTGGAAGTGGACTACTCGCCCTTCCAGGAGGCGAGGGCAGCGTTGGATGGTCCAGAACCGTCGTAATTTTGTGAAGTACACGGTATATCAAGACAGCAATAGCATGGGAAGTGGCTGGTGGGATTCACAAACAGCTAGAAATCCATCTTTGGGAAACAAAATGGGGAGCTAAGATGATGAATAAGAACGAATGACAGCAGTGGAGTTTTGCCGAGAACAACAGGGATTGTTTGTGAACAAGATTTGTTCATGGCTTGACCAGGCGGCCAACCTCCTCTACCAGGGCCCTTGGGTGGCAGAACGGTTGTCGGCGCTCACCAATTGGTTAAATGCAGATGCGGAGGTCAGGCTCTGCGGTGGCAGTGGATGCGTCGTGGGGTTTTTCATTGGACATTGCAATTCGAAGTTTAATCGATGTTGCATGATCAATATGACCTCTTGCATGGGTGAACCCCGATTGAAGAACAGATAGCCAACAAGAAATATTAATACCAGCAGCTAGATGAACCGTTTGCATGATTCATAAAACAATATAAAACAGGTGTATGGACCGAGTTGTTCCTGGTCAGAACAGAGACGACACTGACTCCAGGTGGTGGATGCCACGGTGCGGGCCATTGCGGAACATGGCCAGGAGTGGTCGGCCCAACAGTCCTGTCCTCGGGCACGGCATGCACGGCGTTCAAGATGTTCAAGGGGCTGCGACATTGACTTGTTTATGACTTTGAAGGTGTTTTTGAAGGTGTTTATGACATATAGAGATACAATGAGATACAGACTGTCCATATCATATTCAGCACTGATACACAGTATGATACATATCTAATTATGCTATCATTGCTACCCGCATCCCCACCAACCACGCCATGCTAGTCTGTAAAGAACTAAAGAATCATATCTTAAGCTAAGTTCTTCCATCCCCCATCCCTCACATAACCTCCATACAAGCAGCATATCCCCAGCATCCACCATCCGCCATCCACGACGCTGAACACAACACGTCGTCCGTCGACGTCGTCCGTCGCGTCAGGTGTTTCGAGGCGATGTACCGCCTGCAGCAGCTGCGCTTGGAGGCGCGCCAGGCTCTGCACGAGAGCCAAGCGCAGCTGCTGCTGACGCCCACCGTGGGCGCCACCTACGCCATCCAGGACCCGATGCCGTGCCGTGGGATGTCGTGGGAAAGGGGAGGAAACATAGGGGAAAGGCCCCTTTCGGGAATCTGCGGAAAGATATGGTTGATTCTAGTTGAAGGGTTTCAAGGATAATGGAGATGTAGTAGAAAGATGGAAACTTGCTGCATGGTGTTGATTATGAGATATTATGAGATATTGTAAGTTGGTTGGAAAGTCGATTTAGCTTAATCATGCTGTGAGGGTCGTTCGGTTTCTGGGAAAACCTTCGGATGGGTTCCTCCTTGGAGAGAGGATGTTTTGGCAGATCCCATCGCGTTGAACACCAACCTGGGCCGACCCTTGGTCCGCAGCAGAGTTGTAACCATTGCTCAAAGGCAACAGCGTTGAGTAAATTCGAGTAGTATGGCCAGCATTGATGTCACTGAAGTTACTGAAATTGATGTGGTTGATAAAGACTAGACTCTTGGTCTTGTTGTTCTTAGCCAGCAACTGAAGGCACGAGCAAAATGATCCGTCATGCGTTCAATGTCTTCTGCAAGAAGCCTACCCAGACTTATGTGTTTGCTGGTTTCCAAAGTGAATCACTTTCCAATACCTCGTGTTTTTTGGGGCCGCCATCCACCAACATCAATGGTATCAATTCCAAGGATACACGAACCACATGAATTTGTTGGACCTTTGTGGCATCGCGGTGCCCACGACCTTCGCCGGCCCCACCTTGCCTTTTGGCGTCACGCTCTCGGCCTTCGCCGGGAACGATGCCTTTCTGTGCGATGTGGCGCGGAGGCGCAACGGACATGGCGTCAAGGTGTCAAAATGGAACTTTCGAGGAGAAAAAAAGCAGTGTCAAAAAAAAGGCCAGTTTTACATGTGGCAAGCAGCCATCCCAGGACACGTGATCAACACAAGTTTCAAGGAGGAATGATGATTTGAGTTGACGATTGTTATGGAAACTTGGTGACCTGAAAACCAAGTTTTACACGTGGCAAACAGCCATCCCAGGACACTTGATCAACACAAGTTTCAAGGAGGAATGATGATTTGAGTTGACGATTGTTATGGAAACTAAGTGACCTGAAAACATCTGAAAACCAAGTTTTACACGTGGCAAGCAGCCATCCCAGGACACTTGATCAACACAAGTTCCAAGGAGGAATGATGATTTGAGTTGACGATTGTTATGGAAACTTGGTGACCTGAAAACCAAGTTTTACACGTGGCAAACAGCCATCCCAGGACACTTGATCAACACAAGTTTCAAGGAGGAATGATGATTTGAGTTGACGATTGTTATGGAAACTAAGTGACCTGAAAACCAAGTTTTACACGTGGCAAACAGCCACCCCAGGACACTTGACCAACACAAGTTTCAAGGAGGAATGATGATTTGAGTTGACGATTGTTATGGAAACTAAGTGACCTGAAAACCAAGTTTTACACGTGGCAAACAGCCATCCCAGGACACTTGATCAACACAAGTTTCAAGGAGGAATGATGATTTGAGTTGACGATTGTTATGGAAACTAAGTGACCTGAAAACCAAGTTTTACACGTGGCAAACAGCCATCCCAGGACACTTGATCAACACAAGTTTCAAGGAGGAATGATGATTTGAGTTGACGATTGTTATGGAAACTAAGTGACCTGAAAACCAAGTTTTACACGTGGCAAACAGCCATCCCAGGACACTTGATCAACACAAGTTTCAAGGAGGAATGATGATTTGAGTTGACGATTGTTATGGAAACTAAGTGACCTGAAAACCTGAAAACCAAGTTTTACACGTGGCAAACAGCCATCCCAGGACACTTGATCAACACAAGTTTCAAGGAGGAATGATGATTTGAGTTGACGATTGTTATGGAAACTAAGTGACCTGAAAACCAAGTTTTACACGTGGCAAACAGCCATCCCAGGACACTTGATCAACACAAGTTTCAAGGAGGAATGATGATTTGAGTTGACGATTGTTATGGAAACTAAGTGACCTGAAAACAAGTTTTACACGTGGCAAACAGCCATCCCAGGACACTTGATCAACACAAGTTTCCAAGGAGGAATGATGATTTGAGTTGACGATTGTTATGGAAACTAAGTGACTTTTTACACGTGGCAACCAGCCAGGGACAATGGGAGGAATGATGATTTGATGTTGACGATTGTTATGGAAAACTAGTTTTACCTAAGTGACCTGAAAACATCTGAAAACCAAGTTTTACACGTGGCAAACAGCCATCCCAGGACACTTGATCAACACAAGTTTCAAGGAGGAATGATGATTTGAGTTGACGATTGTTATGGAAACTAAGTGACCTGAAAACCAAGTTTTACACGTGGCAAACAGCCATCCCAGGACACTTGATCAACACAAGTTTCAAGGAGGAATGATGATTTGAGTTGACGATTGTTATGGAAACTAAGTGACCTGAAAACCAAGTTTTACACGTGGCAAACAGCCACCCCAGGACACTTGATCAACACAAGTTTCAAGGAGGAATGATGATTTGAGTTGACGATTGTTATGGAAACTAAGTGACCTGAAAACCAAGTTTTACACGTGGCAAACAGCCATCCCAGGACACTTGATCAACACAAGTTTCAAGGAGGAATGATGATTTGAGTTGACGATTGTTATGGAAACTAAGTGACCTGAAAACCAAGTTTTACACGTGGCAAACAGCCATCCCAGGACACTTGATCAACACAAGTTTCAAGGAGGAATGATGATTTGAGTTGACGATTGTTATGGAAACTAAGTGACCTGAAAACATCTGAAAACCAAGTTTTACACGTGGCAAACAGCCATCCCAGGACACTTGATCAACACAAGTTTCAAGGAGGAATGATGATTTGAGTTGACGATTGTTATGGAAACTAGGTGACCTGAAAACCAAGTTTTACACGTGGCAAACAGCCATCCCAGGACACTTGATCAACACAAGTTTCAAGGAGGAATGATGATTTGAGTTGACGATTGTTATGGAAACTAAGTGACCTGAAAACCAAGTTTTACACGTGGCAAGCAGCCATCCCAGGACACTTGATCAACACAAGTTTCAAGGATGTTGAATAATTATGCCTTAACATTCGTTGACATCCGTGTCAGAGAACGGATCAAATATCTACTCTGTGTCTAGGACCAACATCGACCAATAGCAAATCGATTTTCATATCCAGGCTCCATGGAGCAGCAGAACTCAAGGCCTGCGGTTCGGGGTGAGTGGATATGGGGAAGGCCGAAGGCTACGGAAGGCTGCATGGATCAAACGAATCATATGGACCTTGATTTACTCAATGTATCTGATGGATTCTTATGGATTCTTATGGATTCTTATGGATTCTTATGGGTACATGGGCCATGGGGATACCGTCATGTTTCCTGACATTATAGCTAGGAGATGCTAGCCATGGCAGAAGACCTCGCAGGTTGGTGCCATGGAGTCTTCAGTTCACGATGTCGAAAAAGCGGTGGAGGCCACACAGTCACCTGGGATGCCTGGGATGATCACAGCATTCAGTGCATATGTATATCACAGTCATAATATGGGATGATATTTATATATGGGATGATTATCATTATCATATATATATATATTCCCATAATTGTCCCATATATGGGATGATATATATGGATGCCTGGGATGATTATCATTGGGAAGTTGCAGCTGGGTTCAGGTTTCCAATGGCAAATACTATGGACCTTTGCCATCGGATGTGGAATCGCCTGTGGCCTCAGCAGACAAAAATACCGGGCTCCTTAGATTCTTAGGGGTGTTTTACATGTTTGTTTTATAAACATGTTAGCGACGTTTAGTGCCAGTTTTTGAAATTCTTTTGATGTATTTGTTTGTCTGACATCCTTGGCCTTAGGAACATGATGATGCATGTCTCTCAACCATTTTAATGTTTTGTCCTTGGCCAAAAACTGGATTTTCCTGGGTGTTTTCTTGCCCGCGGCTCCCAGCTTAAGACACTGAGTCACTGAGGTTTGAAGTCGCAGTGTGTGGCGCACACATGGAAGGCCAACCATGGCAGAGTTTGGAATGTTGAACAAACTGTTGGCATGTTGCCAAGTCTCTTTTCCAACTGTAGATTTTGTGACCTACATTTTGAAGATGCCACATTGCCAACATCTGAATGTATTGTAATATATACTGTATACTGTCTATTCTTCACATCCGCATCTTCGCCCAGCTCCAGGACTAGCGTTGAGCTGGCAGCTGACGGAGCGCGGCGGCCGCTTCGTGCGCACCGCCAAGACGGCACCAAGGCGGGAAGGGCCGAAGCGGAGCCTGAAGTGTCGGTGGAAGTTGCGATTTTACATGATTTGGTATGAGTTGACTGTCAACTGACTGTCAACTGACCCGTTTTCCTTGCGATTTGTCAGTTGAAACTTGCATCATATCACCCTGTGTTTTTTTTCCTGATCCTGATTGGCCCCATGTTTTTCTTCAAAATTCTGCCATGTTTCCCAATGCCTCCGGACAGGTATCGCCTGGTGGCCTTCGATGGGATGAAACCTCCACGGCCCGGGCTGGTGGACGCCAGCAATGGTGCAGCCATCGAGCTGGAAATTTGGGACCCGCTGTCGTGGTAGACTGAGAATGGGGGTGAAAAATGGGGGGAAGATTGAACATCAAAAAAACATGATATGTAAAACATGTTTAAAAAGAAGAAGCTGATATCATGTGATATCTGGGATGTTGCATTCTGTTTTGTGACTTCCGGTGAAAGACAGTTCATTAACAACATGATGATGTAGGTTTCAATCTTCAATGTTGCAATATGCTTTCTTTTTTGAGGTATTCATTGCGTATTCTTCCATAATTTCCGGAATGGCTGTGCATCCACCTGTGCATATTTGCCCTGCTTAGTTCCACCAACACGTAGCTATTGCATGCTATTGCTGGTGACCGCACCCGTTTGTTAATGGATCATACATCCACAATTTGTCTTGATTTGTATCCCTAATGGTATAATGTTTTCTAATTGTTCTCTACTTATGTGTTACATACCCATTCATATCGCTGTTGTTCGACCATTTTATGGATTGAACTTGTAACCTTGAAACTTGGAAGTGAAGTTGATGCCAGTAGGAACTGCCTGCTGCAGCCTTCGGTAGTTTCATGAAGCCGGGTAACACAGTGGCCATGGGAAGGGCGGCGCAAGGATAAACACACCCCAAGTCATAAATGATCATACTACCTTGTTGTTTGCACATGAAAATCCAATTGCTCCCAACAACTGGTCAGGTGGCACACCAAACCTTTTGGGATGTTGGATACTTCTGATATCGAAGGGACGATCCAGAATTGGCCGAGGTTGGTTGCCTCTCCCTTGGGCATCGGTTGGATCGAATTGGACGATGGTAGCCGAGTGCAGGGCTTCCGACAGGTGGGGAAAGAGAGACTGGCTTCTTGTCTTGTGGATGTCAGAGGTGCAAATTCTCTTTCAGTTTCATTTTTGACGCATCACATCCGACGTCCGTTTTGAAAGTCGCCTCTGAAAGTTGCCTTTATCTGGATTTTGGCCCAAGCTGAGGGTTGTAAGGCGGGCGGCAGGTTTTTTGGTTGAACATCCGAGTATGTACAAAGGAACCTTAAAAAAGGTTTTCATTGAGAGAGGGTTTGGGTTCATCGGTGTGGCTGGAACCGAAAAGACCCAAGATGTGTTCGTGCATTTCTCCAAATTGGTCGATGCAGATGTCCACGATATGCTCCCAAAAACGGAGGTATCCTTTGACATCGCCATTGATTCTTCCTGTGGCAAAAGCCAAGCTGTCAATGTGAGACTTCTTTCACAAGTCAGGGCAGCAAAAGGACATGTGACTCCAGCAATGAAGATTGCACCACAGAGGCAAACGAGGGTTGCGTCTGTTTTGATCAAGACCTTTGAAACTCCGACGAGCATCTTCGACTGGAGCCGCAAAGAGTTCAATGGTGTGAGGCGTTGGATGGAGCTTATAGCATCCGAGGCCGGTGGCCAACTGGAGATGACCCAGACTTCGCTGAGGTTCTACGTGCCTGGTCGCTGGCCAGATTTGGAGAAGACCATCGCCGTGAAGAACCTCCGTGGCCTCGTCCACGGTCGATACTCATTGGCCAAGCATTGTCCGGCCAGTGCGGAGATTGACCCGACGACCCTGAGGGGGTTGCCACATGAGGTGAAAGCCGAGCTTGCACAGCTCAAGAAACAACAAAGGAAGACTGAGGGTAAGTTGGGTCGAAAGCGCACGAACTACCAAAAGTCTGTCGCAGGAAGAGCTGCCTTCCTTTAGGCCTTTAGGCAATGGCATGTTGGCATGTTGGCAACGACGAATGTACAGTGTGCAGCTTGATGCCAATGTGCATTCCATCCGACTTGCCCAGATCACAAGATGCCGCCGTGGGCATGACCGCAAGCTTCTGCGAGAAGCTTTCAAAAATGCGGATCATTGTGGGGATGCCCCTTTTCTGAATCCTGTCTCGTCTTGGGACGAAGACTCCTGCTTCATGAACATGGTTGTTATAGCCTTAGCCAGATGGAAAGATCCGATTTGCCCATGATTGACAGCGGAATTTATTTGGCATAGTTTCTCCCTTTCATGCAGTTGGAAATTCCATGGGACCTCTTTCATTCTCACGGTCGCCGGAAGGTGGATGTGGGTGCCAATAGCCACGGAGTGGTGGGTGTTGGTGGTGACCCGCCGCCAGACATCACCGAGTACGGATCCTGGAGGTCGGCTGGGCACGGCATCGGGTCCCCGGCAGTGTGCTATTTCAACGGATAAATGCGGCTGTCCAAAATCATAGATTTAACATGATTTGAGCAAAGTTATTCTCATTTTCATGAGGAAATGATGGCAATGGGGGGGAGTCTCGCTTTCAAGCAAACCTAAATGTGGATGAAGAAAAGTGGATACGTGCGAGCTGATGGCTTTGGGTTTTTGGCAGCCAGAGATTTTTTGAGAGCCCCCTGATAACCTGGCAACGGAGAATTCCACAGTTTCATCCAATGAACAGCAAATTTTCGGATTGAAATGATGATTTCCCATTGCCATGTTTGACGCAAGGGAACCAGGTTGGAACCAACACAGGCTGCTCTCACCATGGCCACCCCGGGCGGTGCAGTGCCAGGAATTTCTTGAAGTGAGGCAGTCTCATCGCGCCCTGCCCCTACTTAATGTGTAAAGAAATTTGCTGTTGATAGAGGAAACGCGGAGCACAACCACAGTATGGCCAAGATCCTAGGCATTGCAACCTTTTGCCGCAAAGAAATTTCCTCTGTCCACGCTCGAAATGAGAAGAAAACAATTTCTCGTGCTTTTTTTCGAAGTGCAAAAAGAGGCCTGCCAGTGCATAGCTCCAGCCGTGGGGGTGTGCTTCAAGGTGTCCACGATGGTTTGCTTGGTGTGTTCATTCGTTGCAGCTGCAGAGTTTTGTGCCCAAATTCCATGTTCGCCTTTGCGCTGGCCTCTTGTTTCACGTTTGGTGCCAAATCTGAAGATATTGAAGTCATGGCAGTGGGGGCTGGAGTTTGGAAACTGACCGCGGATGACTCTTACAGTGGCTTAACTTCCGTGTCCCACGTCAAACAGACCGTCACAGAGGAGTCTCTCTTGGCCGGTGACAAAAAATCCGGAAGTTCTTTGCAGCAACCCTTCTGATTTCACCTTGAAGCTGACCAAAAATTCTCCAAACCACTGAGCATCCCAAGGGATCCCAAGGGAGCACAATTGCCAGCGCCACAGAACTGTTGGCCACGCCATTGGTGCTACCTTGTCATACCACATAGACATCATAGACACAAACACGTTACCCTATGATGGCTCGCCCCCCAAGAGAATGTTCTGCTGTATACCTAGATTGGGTTTCAGAAGAACTGATGTTTGAGAAGGGTTCGTGGTCAACGCCACCTTAATTCAAGCTTCAGCAGGGCTCTCAGTGTTACCTCCCTTGCACATCAGACCTTCAAAAGTGCTCATTTGTCGCGCAAACAGACCTTCAAGGCCATTCCTCACTGCATGGTGCTGGCGGGTGTGGTGATACTGCGCGTGGCCGTCCTCTCTGTGTGCGGTGCCAAGGAGCGGTTGACAGCTTCCGTGGGCCTGGTATGGAGCATCAACATCCATCACCTGCACTGGCACACTGCAGCGTCTCACCTTGCGAACAAAGAAGATCGGCCTTTTCAGATTTTTTTTTTGGTGGAACTACTTGGTAGTTTTGGTCATCATGGACTCTGGCATTTCGATCTGGAAGGATCATGAGCCGCGGCTGTTACTGCGGCTGGGGCTAATCGACGTAATGAGCCTAATGAGGCTGCGGATGCCGATGCTGCGAATGACGAAACTGCAGATGATCCTGCTGCCGGCGCTGGGGCTGCGGATGCTGCAGCTGATTCTTCTTCCGCTTTACTTTCCTGTGGTTTCAAATGTTCTTCGATGCTGTTGAAGTGCAGTTGTCAGTTGTGGAATGCCTTGGACTCCTGAGGATGTTGTCTATGCCTCGTGAACCTGTTGAGAATCTGAGGGTGTTGCAATACCCAGGAGGGCTCCAGTAAAGGTCCGAGACGTTCGAAAGGAGCTACAACCAATTCGTCCCACGGAAAGAGACAGAGCCTAGCGGGATGAAAAGCAAAGTGTGTCTTTCACCTGGTGCTTCTCTGGATTGTGTTGGTCCAATTTGTTATTTCATATGTTCTGCCCATGACAGGGATAGTTCAGACTCAGACCAATCAAGACTGATCAGTTGCTTGCTCAACACAGATGAGGTTTCGGAAGGACTTGAAATCAAAATGAAACTAGTCTGCTATCTTTCAGCTGCATAGCTACGGAGTACCTGCAGATTTCGGCTGTGAATTGGCCGATTGAACTTTGTCAGTATATGACTTGAACCTGTGGAATCTTATCTCTGCACACTTTTTACACAGTGAATCTGGTGGCTTTTGTCAGGTTTGTAGATTCTTCAGGGTATCATTACGGTCCATATATTTTTTTCAGCCCACTGAACTGCTCTGATACCTCCCTGACAAGTGCGGCCACCGGAGCTGCAGAAGAGGAGGCAGGGATAGGCAGGAAATCTAATGCAAATCGACCAACACATCGCAAGTCGTCTATGTGGATTGACCATGATTGACCTATAAACTTTGTTGCCTCTATCATGCCTTTGTCATGCCCCTGCTATTACTTGCAACATCCCCTTTTAAAATCCACTTCAACTGGATGGCCCCACCAAATATACAGATGATACTTGTTTATTCAGCACAGCTGGTTGGATCAACCTGTTGACCTACCAACACCCTGCAGCCCCTGACTTCAAGACACACAATTCATCCCATTTCTTTTGATTCTGTTGGTTGAAGCCTCAGTTCCGTTGGCTGAATATTTCTTTAAAAAATCCTTACTGTTACAGTAAACCCAACACAACCCCATCTCTATGTGTTTTGTCATGGATTTCCCCATGTGGCCATAGGTTGCTTCCCCATCTGCCTTGGTTCCAGGTCATGTCGCTTCAGCTGCGACTCCTTGCCGCACTCAGCGCCCTTCAGGCAACACCAATGCAGTACGTGTACGTTGGGTGGATCGAAACATTGCGAGTTGTTGGATAGGGTACTTTACATGTAGGTACATGTCCGTGTGAATATACATGTATACTTGTGATTTTTTTGTGTATCGAAAGATTTGCAAACATGGGTGAGGGATCCGCTCAGCACGCTTTCCTGTTGCATATTGATGTTGATTTTGTGACAAGAGCGAAATGAAAACACATGAAAAACACAGCAAAAAATCAAAGTCCAAAGGAATAGTAAAACGATGACAAGGAATGACAGAATGACAGGGGGTTCTCTTTCGGCCTCCTTGGTGTATCAAGGCCACCTGCACAAACACCCGTGATCTCCAGGTTTTGCGCTCATTGGCGCAACTCCAAACAGTGCAATACTCAGAGCCAGATAACAAAAGTAGCAACGCAGAACCAGACTTTATCTACTCAACATATGTCCTGTGCTCTGGTTGAACATATCTACTTTGCCATTGCCGGGATAGAGCCAGAATCAGTTTGATAGAACCTTTTCGCGACGATCTCCTTAGTAGGTAAACGTCATTGACTTACTAAACTTCCATAAGATTCGATGGTTCCAGCAGCAGGTGGACTGTGAAGCAGACCCTGAGAACATGTACTGCTGCCCTCTTCAGCCCATGGCGACACTTGGCTCAACACTGCGGAAGTGGCAGCTATGGCAGCAGCTATGGGCTGGTATGGTACCATGGCAAGGCCTAGGACCATTGGCAAATTGGGATGTGAACCAAGATGATCAGAACACTGAGAGCACCAGAATTTGGGAGACGGATGCCAAACACCGCACCTGAATTTCTCACATTGGCCACCAGAGTACCAGAGTCCCTTTCAACCATTACGAACAGCCATGTCATGTGTCACTGTCACTGTCACTGTCTATCTTTTCCATTCTTTTCCAGGGCGCTGTCACCGTTTTGCCACTGGATTCCGAAGCCGTCCCGGAGACTTCCGGAGACGGAGCACCGGAGAGCTGCTGAGGCCTTGTTTGTTGGACGGCTTCGTGAGGTCCGATCAGCCGCCTGAACCTCAGATGGGACAGAGACAAGTTGGGTATGACAAAGGCATGACTCACGGTATGACATGTGTTACACGTGTGTTTTGCTTTTGAGAAACTTGTTGTGCTCTTGAAGCTGCTTGTAGTACTTGTAGTACTTGTAGTACTTGTAGCAGGATTTCGCGATGTTTTATCCTCATGTCGATTTTGCTGGTGTATTTTTTTTTCGGCCAAAAAACAAACCATGGGTTGGATGCCAAGATGCAGCGCTGCCTGCCAAAAGCGCTACCAGACCCTTGGCACGGAGCTCAATGTGCTCGCAGTCACTGTCGTTGCTGTGCCGGTGGCCTGGTACAGGTTACGACTGCTACAAGGATTACAAGGCATGGAAACATGGAAGAAACAGAGAAAAACAGATGGTAACAAAAAAATAAAAAATGGAGATGGACCAGATGGATAGATGATACATACATGGTAACAGTGATGGTGTTCTTACACCTCAACTTTGTCCTGCAAAGTTGAATATTGTAAAGATTTTGCTGTGCTAAATGCCGTGCTAAATGCCATTGAAAGTGCTCCATTTCATCTTTTCACAGCCAGGAGCACTTTCAGTGGAACAACATGAGGAGGAACTGCGATCCGCAAAACATCGTGCAGCCATGGCCGCAGAATGCCCGAGAAGTCATGGGTGAAGTTTGGGCAAGAGCGCAAGAGCATGTGGGTAAGGTCCAATTATGGAAACCTTATGTTGCGCTGTTGGGATCATTTCAGTTTGAATTTCTTTGGAAGTCCAGTTGCCTTTGCCATTTTTCTTTCGCTTGCATCACGTCACAATCACTGTTTCTTGATGAATGGAACTTAGTTGGTAAATTTGCGCGTGGCTGGATCACGGATGTCCCAAAAATTCTGCCCAGGTTTAACCCGCCCGAGACCAGCTTCAGGCCGCTCTGGACTTGGGATCACCGGATGCACCAAATGTTGATTTGTTCTTGTGATGGCTTAGACTATCGTTTTCAACTCCCATTTGGGCTGCTGAAAGCTTTCCGGCGACTATTTTTGCGACATCTATACATATATATATAATTATATATATATGCTGAGTGTGCTGAGTGTCTTGTTTTGCATTTCATATCATGAGGATATCCTCACCCAGATAAGGGCAAGGCCGCATCGCTGAGGCCTGACTACGGACCGTTCGCTCAGGGCCTGCGCCTTAGATGGCGCCAGAAAACGGGTACATTGCGCTGTGTCCCGGTGAATTGGCTGGGGACATTCGCAGCTGTTGAACAACCACGGCCCGTTTTTCCGGTTGCAAATTTGGGGGTTTACCCAGTGCTGTGTGGATGATTAAGCATCCACATGGTGTCTATTGACTCTCACGGGCCGTAGTGTTTGGTTCGTTTCAGGCATAGATTTCTTCGACTATTGATCCGTGAGGTTTGTAACATGATTTTCCTTTCTCTTAACATGTCTGCAGCATTGTGTGAAAATGTGTGCTTCTGGGGTCGCACTCGCACAGCTGACTGGCGGAACTGTCATCACATGAAATTTTAGCAAAAGAACACTTGCAGAGTCAAAATCCACATTTTCCAAGACATTTTTGTAGCTAATTTTAGTCAAAGTGCCTCTGAATGTATCGCTGATCTGCACTGCCACGGCGGCTAAGCTACCACGGCCGGCGCTCAATCCTTGGTGCCATCAACGCTCCTGGCAGTGATCCTACAAGGCACGGGCTTCCAAGGATAACAAGGATGCACACAGGATGCTTGTCGCATCTTGTCACGCCAAGATAGCGTCCTCTCAACGGGAACAATTTGTGCAAAAAGCAGCTTTCTGATGTGATTTTGCGTGGTCTCTTTGCTATTTCTCATTCCACTGTAGTTGGACCAGGCATAGTACAAATAAATCCCTCTGCCACGCAACTGTCTACTGTACAGTGCCAACATCAGGGATTCCTTATTCTCTTCAGATTCAATCTGCAAACGGTTTTCTAGAAATCCTTGGACCCTTGCGATTGCTACCAAATATGAATGCAACCTAAAGCGGGGTATTTAGCATGTAGTAGAATTGATTTCGCTTCCAGATCTGTTGGAAATCCCTCCGTCTCTATCCGCCCACACAGCCTCTTTTGCAGATTTGTTTGGAAAGGTATATAAGTCCCTACTGCCCATCATGGAGCCATGTTGTGTTCGGCGCAGGTCTGGCACTGTGCTGAAGTTGACACGGAAAGTTTGCCAAGTTTTTCGGTCTGCGTTTTTTCTGAAAGGTAAACATGTTGCTGTTGGTATGTGATCAGGAGGTCCCCCCCAGATAGAAATCTGATTGAATCTTGCAAAGCAGCCGCTGCAAAGTAACCATATATACTCCTTACGCTCTGTTTTTTGGTTGCAAACCACTTTCTTCAGCTGCAGAATTCCGCAGGGGGACTATCCCTTGCTCAACCCTTGAATTCGTACAACCGCCACGTCCAAGACGCGGCGATGTGGCCGTAGTTCGCGGGTCCCATCGTGCGAGTGCTCCTTGCGCAAGTCTGAGCTTCGTGCGGTGCAACCTTTGTGCCGTATAAGTTGTTTCAGAGACCGGCGGATGTAGACGTCTTGTTTTGCATGATACAGTGTCGGCATCAAAAGTCCCAGGGAAAGGGTCCAATGGTAAGGAGATTGATTGCAGATCGTCCGGCGAAGTGTTTGCGCTTCCTTTTTCATGTCATAGTCTGCAGCATTTGACATGGCAACGCGCCATTGAAGCGGGGGTTGGTCACCTCATCTGCATCGCTGTGCCCGCAAGCCAACCTGGAACTACCATTTCAGCATAGCAGTGCTGATTGTGACCAGTATCATCGACATCATTGTCACCATGGTCACAAGAGGTTTTGTCGGCTACATGAGTTTTCCATGCTTTACCACATGTTTCTTTTCGGGGCGAAGAAGGGCACAAGATGACTTTTGATCAAGAAGGGATTCTTCAATGATTGTGGGGGGGGAGAGTCCTCAAATGGTCGCGGTCTCAATTGCCGGTCTGTTCCAGCATCTTGCTACCAACTGGCAGAGGTTCGAAGAGTGTGGTGCATGTTTTTTTCTCGGCTTTTCCTCCCTTGCATGGCTTCCATTTTGGGCGCGTTTTTTGTATGCATCACCCGAGCCCTCAGTAACCTCCTCGTTTTCATCATCGCCAGTCACATCCTCATCCCGATCATCTATCCATAATCTTGATGTCATTCAAATCATGGGACAATCATCCTCGTCATTATCATCAGCAGCAGCATCGTTCTCACCGTCACCATTTCTGGGGTACTTCATCATGTCAACTGATTGTAATCATGTTTCATTCGCCATCATCGTGCAGCCATCTCCGTACATGATGGTCGGATTGAACACGATGGCATGATTTTTTTCATTGGCTGTGGATGCCCTGGCTTTCGCAACCCATCAGATCCATAGTATGCCATCATACGCCTTTGATCTTGTGATGTTGTAAAAGCGCATGAGGGGTCGATCTTTGAGCACCGACTTGAGCTGCTTTTCACCGCTGCTTTCCGCAGCTGTTTTGCTTGAGTTAGGCCACACACAAGCTACCCACCCCTGCTCAGAAACCCAGGGGCGTGCCAGTTTCAAACCTCACACAGCATTGCGTGCACCGATTTGCTCCACAGGGCTCGATGTCCCATGTCCTATGGACACTTGAAGAGCACAGGGAGCAACTTGGACCATGAGCTGTAAAGACAAGGGTCGTTTGTCCAAGTAGGGTTTTGAGAGGGGGGGTGATGCATGAAGCCATGCGGCAGATTTCTGGGGGGCACAGCCATGCCGCACGTCAAATAATTCTGGAACCCGGAAAATTGAACAGCAAAGGTTCATTCTCCTGCAACTTGTGATCCCATGTGCTGCAGTCGCATAGTAGAAGAACAAGCAGTCTAGATGAAACCAAACAGGAGGACCTGTGGCCCCAACTCTAGAAGTACCCAAGTAGCTCGTCATGACGGAATGCTGCTTGCCAAGCACGAATTCTTGAATTCATGGTCATTGCATCGAGCCATTGGCAGTATCATGATCACCATCATCATGGTCATTGGCCCCCTCCATGGCCATAGTCCTCTTGCCATGCTGGTCATCATCATCATCACCCTCATTGTTTGTAGCCGTCATCTCAACATCATCATTCCCACTATCGCGCAACATCACTATTTGCGTCATCATGACCTTTATCTTCACCACCATCATCATGAGGTGATGAGCCGCAGCCCGGGATGCCCAGATCGTTGTTGGCGTATCAGCAGATTCTTGGAAACCATGTTGCTGTTTGCTGCTAAACCCTTTACTCGTGACGCTTTGTATCCCGAGCTGGGGGTGACGCGTCACTTCTGTGTGGAGGCCCTTCAGCTATGCATGGCTACGGGCCCTGAAGCAAGACTTCGGCAGCGAGCTGCTGCTCTTGTTGTGGTTTGGCTGCAGATCATGATGCAAGCACAAAAAAAAAAATTAAAGGATTGGATAACCCCACATGTCAACTTCTTCCAATAATGAGCAACACATGTTGTAGCGGGACGGGGAAGGAAGGAAAGACAAAGGAGGTGGTGAAGGATCGAGAAGTAAAAACAGTAGTGTGCGACAAAGTTGTATGTGAAAGATGGTGTGTGACAAAGAAAGATGGTGTGTGAAAAAGATGGTATGTATGTATGTATGTATGTACGTATGTACGTATGTACGTATGTACGTATGTACGTATGTACGTATGTACGTATGTACGTATGTACGTATGTACGTATGTACGTATGTACGTATGTACGTATGTACGTATGTACGTATGTACGTATGCACGTATGTACGTATGCACGTATGCACGTATGCACGTATGCACGTATGTACGTATGTACGTATGTACGTATGTACGTATGTACGTATGTACATATGTACGTATGTACGTATGTACGTATGTACGTATGTACGTATGTACGTATGTACGTATGTAGCCAAGACCGGCATGCCAACACCATGAGTTGCATGCCAAGTGCCACACCTGCCACGCAAACAGCCGCGCCGACCACGGCGCCACACGGGGCCCAAGCGCGCCACCGGAGCCGGCCCAGTGCCATAAGTGCCACACCTGCCACGCAAAGTGGGTCGATGTCGCCAAGCGCCACGCCTGCCACGCAAAGGCAAGGCAGATGTCGCCAAGTGCCACGCCTAGCAACGCAAACAGCCGCGGCGACCGCGGCGTCCACTGGGACCCAAGCGCGCCACCAGAGCCAGTCCAGTGCCACAAGCGCCACGCCTGCCACGCAAATTGGAGGTCGATGTCGCCAAGTGCCAGACCTGCCACACAGAGTGAGTGAAGGCAGATGTCGCCAAGCGCCAAGCCTGCCACGCAAACAGCCGCGGCGACCGCAGCGTCCACTGGGACCCAAGCGCGCCACCAGAGCCAGTCCAGCGCCATAAGCGCCACTCCGGCCTCGCAAAGTGGAGCAAGTTGTGTGTGTGGGTAAGTTGTGTGGGTAAGTTGTGTGTGGACAAGTTGTGTGTGTGAGTAAGTTGTGTGTGAGCAAGTTGTGTGTGTGTGCAAGTTGTGTGTGTGTGAGTAAGTTGTGTGTGGACAAGTTGTGTGTGTGTGTGTGGGTAAGTTGTGTGTGAGCAAGTTGTGTGTGAGCAAGTTGTGTTTGGACAAGTTGCGATGAGGAGGCAGGCGGCGGGAGGAGGAGGCAGGCGGGAGGAGGCAGGCGGGAGTGCACAACCAAAAACAAGAACCCCACACAAAGATCTGGGGAAAAAAGTTGCAAGCACAAGCCAGCATTCCCAGTTGATTTCATCAGCGAGGTTCATGTCTAGATGTTTTAAATATCTTTAAATTAAGGTTATTTTCTTCCCATAGCTGCCATAGCTATCATTCATCCGGGTGGCTCCAAAAGCTTGGCGCCAACAGGTTCGCTGTCCAGCATCTCATCAAGGGGTTTGTGGCCAACCTCAGCGGCAGGGCGACACCGTATCTGTGCAAAGCATATGAAGTGCCGGCGCAGGAGCGGTGTTTAGAGTCCCGAGCTGAGGGTTGACTTGTTTGTCCAGCCATGGGTTGGCTAAGGACTGAAAAGGATCACAAGAAGCAATCATTCACAGGCCCTCCAGATGATAACAGTCCCACATATTCTGATGCTAAAGGAGATTCAAATTTGGAAGACCGTGATCTATTCGCCTTACGTCCTGAAGCCTATCTTCGGTTTGATCAGCGATCTCCTGCCCATCGCCGGTTATCACAAGGTGTGATAAGACAAGCTGCGGTTGCAGTTCTTCAGGGTTTTTGCAAGGTAAAGGGCTACTTGAGACACAAGGCTTTTGATTGCGGGACTCTAGATGAGCTGCGGCACATTCAAAAAAGTCAGCGGCTTAAACATGCTTCCGGACTTCGGTCCAACTTATTTCATGTCATTAGCTGGTGCTGCTTCCGTCTCAGGGGCCGTACATGTTCCTGGCCACAAGTGCCGGCTTGGTTTCTTCCGTGGCAATCGGTGCCGGCATTGTTACGTCGCTAAACTTCTTGGTCGTTGGTCTCTTCCTGCTGGAGCTGTGCATTTGCAGCTCGGCCACAGTATTGGGCTGGGCCCCCACGTGTTTGTCTGATTGCCTGCTCCAGTCTTTTGTTGAGCGTCTTTGGAAATCTACGATCAGAATCAATCATGTCGGGTACATGCAGGTTTGGCTTGCGCTCCTTTCATTCATGCCTTGGCTTGGAAGATGCATGCGCAGCGTGCTAAGGCACAAATGACCTCCTAACTGAAGCGTTGTACGCGCGCGAACTCCAGGCGCTGAGTGAAGTATTCATAATTTCTCGGGGCGCCGCATTGGGCCCAATGCTTCGCCTAAGACTTTCATGCTGGGCGCAGGCCAACTCCGCACTTGATCGTGTTGTTTGCCCTGCGCGCCTAAAATTTCATGACAGGAGCATGCCAGGCTAGGGCAAAGCCTTTTGACCTATGTATCTTGGCTGTTCGTGTTGCGATCGGTTTTCCCAAATGCGTAGCGAAAGGTTCTTGTTTTCTTGGTAGGGGGCTCGGGGGTGACATCTTGTTTGCGGCCCTATACGACTTGCTACAAAATCTGACGTTTTGAAGTAGAACATGTAATTTCGTGTGGCAGGCGTGGGGCTTCGCAGCACTCAGGCGTGAAGTGCTGCGCCTGTTTCTAATCGACCCCTCGCCGGCCGTCTCTATAGGAATTGCTGCAAGGTGTGAAGTGTTGCGCCGCGCTCTAACCGACCCCTCGCTGTGACTTTAGAATTTGCTACAAAATGTGACGCTGTGAAGTTGTGAAGTGCCATTTGGCATGGCAGGCGTGTGACTTCGTGGCAGTATGGGGTGGAGAGTGTGAGGTGTCAAGTGTGGAGTGGGGGGTCGAGGGTGTGGAGTGGGGAGTGTGAAGTGTGGATCGTGAAGTGCGGAGTGTGGAGTGGAAAGCATGAAGTGTGGAGTGGAGACAGTAGCGTGGAGTGTGATGTGCGAAGTGTGGAGCGTGGAGCCTGGAGCGGCGGAGTGGAAAATGTGAAGTGTGGAGTGTGGAGTGTGGAGGAGACGAAGTGTGGAGTGCGGAGTGTGGAGTGTGGGGGTGGAGCGTGTAGGATGTGGAGTGCAGGGTATGGAGCGTGAAGTGGCAGCGTGGACAGTGCGGGCAGCGTGGACAGTGTGGACAGTGTGGGCAGCGCGGACGGTGTGGACAGTGTGGGCAGTGCGGGCAGTGTGGACAGCGTGGAAAGAGTGAAGTGTAGAGTATAGAATGTGAAGTGTGGAGCGGAGTGAGGAGTGTGACGTTTAGAGTGTGGAATGTAGAGTGAGAAGTGCAGTTTGGAGGTTGGAGTGGAGAGTGTGGAGGGCAGAGTGTGTAGTGCGGAGTGCGGAGTGTGGCGCGGAGAGAGAATGCAGGGTGGCGATCGTGGAGGGTGGAGAGCGGAGTGCAGCATGAGAAGTGGGGAGCGTGAAGTGGAATGTGGAGTGCGGAGTGTGGATCGTGGGGTGTGGTGCGCGGAATGTGAAATGTGAAATGTGGAGTGGGAAGCGCGAATTGCGGGGTGTGGAGCGTGGAGTGCTAAGTGGAGTGTGGAGTGCGGAGTGCGGAGTGTAGACTGCGCAGTGTGGGCTGTAGAATGTGAAGTGTGGGGCATGGAGTGAAATGCGAAGTGTGAAGTATAGAGTATGGAGGTTGCGGAGGGCGTGGAATGTAGAGTGTGGAGTGCGGAGCGTGAAGTGTAGCGTGTAAAACGGTGAATGTGGAATATGGAGTTGAGTGTGGAGGGTGGGGCGTGGAGTGTGGAGTGGATGGTGCGAAGTGCAGAGCGCGGGCGGAGTATACAGAGTGCGAAGTGTAGACTGTAGCGTGCGACGTGTAGAGTGTTGATGTGGGGTGGGAAGTTGCAGTGTGGAATGTGGAGTGGGAAGGGTGTGAAGTGTGGAGCGCGGAGAAGTGTGGAGCGTGGAATGTGGAGTGTGGAATGTGAAGTGCAGAGTGTAGAGTGTAGACTGGGCAGCGCAGGGTGTAGAATGTGAAGTGTGGAGTTTGGCGTGTGGGGTCGGGTGTAGAGTGCAGAGTGCAGTTTGCAGAGTGCAGAATACGCAATGTAGAGTGTTACGTGTAGCGTGTGGAATGTGCCTGAAGTGTGGAACATGGAGTGGGAAGTGTGGAGTGCAAAGTGTGGAGTGCGGAGTGCGAAGTGGAGTGTAGGATGTGGAGTGGGAAGTGGGAAATTGCAAGCGTGGAGTGCGCAGTGCGGAGTGTGAAGTGTAGGGTTTAGAGCGTAGAGCGCAACGTGCGGAGTGTGGAATGCGGAATGAGACATTTGGAGTCGGAATGTGGAGTGGAAAGTGTGGAGTGCAGAGTGCGGAGACTGTGAAGTGCAGTGTGGAACGTGAAGTGTGGAGCGTGTAGTGGAGAGTGGAGCGTGGAGGGTGGAGAGTGGTGAGCGTGGACTGGAGGGCGAGGAAGTACAAAGTAGCGCAGGGAAGTTTTTCCCCACATCTTTGTGCGGGGTTCTTGTTTTTGATTCTGTATCCCGCTCCGCCTTCCGCCTCCCGCCCCGCCATCTTTCCACACACCATCTTTCCACACACAACTTTGTCACACACCATCTTTCACACACAACTTGTCACGCACTCTCTTTCACACACAACTTTGTCACGCACCATCTTTCACACACAACTTTGTCACACACTCTCTTTCACACACAACTTTGTCACACACCATCTTTCACACAGAACTTAGTCACACACACTCGTGGTCAGGCCACCCTTTGTCACCCACGACTTTGTCACCCACACATACACCTTCACTTTGCGTGGCAGGCGTGGCCCTTCACGACATCCACTTTCACTTTGCTTGACAGGCGTGGCCCTGGGCGACATCCAGCTTCGTATTGCGTGGCACTTACGGCACTGGGCTGGCTCCGGTGGCGCGCTTGGGGGCCGTTGGTCGCGCGGTGACACCGCGGCACTTTGCGTGGCAGGCGTTGGGCTTGGCGACATCCACCTTCACTTTGCATGGCAGGCGTGCACTTCCCGATATCCACCTTCACTTTGCGTGGCAGGCGTGGCACTTGGCGACATCTACCTTAGTTTTGCATGGCAGGCAGGTGTGGCGCTTCACGACATCCACCTTCACTGTGGGTGGCAGGTGCGGCACTTACTACGGCACTGGGCTGGCTCCGGTGGCGCACTTTGGGCGTCGCTTGGGCGCGGTGACGCCGCGGCACTTTGCGTGGCAGGCGTGGCACTTGGCGACATCCACCTTCACTTTGCGTGGCAGGCGTGCACTTCCTGATATCCACCTCCGTTTTGCGTGGCAGGCGTAGCGCTTCACGACATCCAACTTCACTTTGCCTGGCAGGTGTGGCACTTTCGGCACTGGGCTGGCTCCGGTGGCACGCTTGGGCGCCGTTGGTCGCGCGGTGACGCCGCGGCACTTTGCGTGGCAGGCGTTGGGCTTGGCGACATCCACCTTCACTTTGCGTGGCAGGTGTGGCACTTCACGACATCCACCTTCGTTTTGCGTGGCAAGCGTGGCACTTCTGGCACTGGTTACGGCAGCGTTTGGTTCACAACAGTTTGACTGATTTTCCCTGTGCCAACAAGCTTTCAGATTGCATCATGATTGATTCACTCAGCAGGCTCAGCCACCTTCACTTTGGCATGACCGGCGTGGCACTTGGCGACATGGACGTAGCATTTGCGTGGCAGGCGTGGCCACTTATGGCACGGCTGGCTCTGGTGGCTCTGGTCCCCGGTGGAAGCACTTGCATCGTTTAGTTGCGCGTCACTGCACAATCTTTCACACACATAAGTGTGTCACACACAACTCTTCACATACAACTTTTTTAACTTCTCGATCCTCCACCTCCTTTGTCTTTCCTTCCCTCCCCGTCCCGCTACAACATTTGTTGCTCATTATTGGAGGAAGTGTGTGGCTTTCCGGTCCTTTAATTTGTGCAAGCTTTGTAGTACAAAGTAATACTGGGAGGTACAGCGTGCAAACTTTGTCGTGCAAAGTAGTACTTGGAAGTGCTTTGCGCAATATTTGTATTGCAAATAATATCGGGAAGTGCTTTGTGTAAATCTTGTAGTACGAAGTAGTACTGGGAGGGACTGCGCACAAGCTTTGTAGCACAAAGTAGGCCTGGAAAGAATTCCGCGCAAGCTTCGGAGTACAAAGCAGCACCCGGAAGTGCTTTGTGTAAATGTTGTGGTACAAAGTAGTCAAAGGAAGTTTAGGGGGAGAAACTTCCGTGTTACGGACTTTTAGAATGTCAGGGAAAGAGTTAGTCAAAGAAAGAGTTAGTCAAACCAAGAGTTCGTCAGGGAAAGAGTTAGTCAAACCAAGAGTTAGTGAGGGAAAGAGTTAGTCAAAGAAAGAGTTAGCAAAGAAAGAGTTAGTCAGGGAAAGAGTTAGTCAAAGAAAGAGTTAGTGAGGGAAAGAGTTAGTCAAAGAAAGAGTTAGTCAAAGAAAGTTAGTCAAAGAAAGAGTTAGTGAGGGAAACAGAGTCAGGGAAAGAGTTAGTCAAAGAAAGAGTTAGTGAGGGAAAGAGTCAGTCAAAGAAAGAGTTAGTTTAGTCAAAGAAAGAGTTAGCAAAGAAACAGTTAGTCAGGGAAAGAGTTAGTCAAAGAAAGAGTTAGTGAGGGAAAGAGTTAGTCAAAGAAAGAGTTAGCAAAGAAACAGTTAGTCAGGGAAAGAGTTAGTCAAAGAAAGAGTTAGTGAGGGAAAGAGTTAGTCAAAGAAAGAGTTAGCAAAGAAACAGTTAGTCAGGGAAAGAGTTAGTCAAAGAAAGAGTTAGCAAAGAAAGAGTTAGGCAAAGAAAGAGTTAGTGAGGGAAAGAGTTAGTCAAAGAAAGAGTTAGCAAAGAAACAGTTAGTCAGGGAAAGAGTTAGTCAAAGAAAGAGTTAGTGAGGAAAGAGTTAGTCAAAGAAAGAGTTAGCAAAGAAACAGTTAGTCAGGGAAAGAGTTAGTCAAAGAAAGAGTTAGTGAGGGAAAGAGTCAGTCAAAGAAAGAGTTAGCAAAGAAACAGTTAGTCAGGGAAAGAGTTAGTCAAAGAAAGAGTAGTCAGGGAAAGAGTTAGTCAGGATATATGAGGTAGTCAAAGAAAGAGTTAGCAAAGAAACAAGTTAGTCAAAGAAAGAGTTAGTGAGGAAAAGAGTTAGTCACAGAAAGAGTTAGCAAAGAAATTGTTCCCTCACTGTAAATGGCATTGCAAGTGGTGCTGGTGGAGGAGTTGCCGATGGAGTTTTGGAGGAAGTCTCGCACGAAATGCGTTTTTGAGAGATAGCAGATGCACGAAAGCCTATGTTTTTCCATACAAAGTGCGTCCCCGAACCTCGATGATCTACCTCTGCTGTGCGACGGGTGCGAGACGGTCTCGCGTGTGGTCGGATCATGGTCGGATATGCTCGGATCATGGTCGGATCGGTTCCGCATTGTAAATGGGGTGTCAAGTGTTTTTCGTGCATGTGTGGTCGACAGAATTCCATTGTGATTTGCAACTGTAGGATCGTTCCCGCATTGTAAATGGGGTTGCAAGTGGTGCTGGTGGATGAGTTGCTGATGGAATTGCATTGTGATTTGCAACTCTAGGATCGTTCCCTCACTGTAAATGGGATTGCAAGTGGTGCTGGTGGAGGAGTTGCCGATGGAGTTTTGCAGAAAGTCTCGCACGAAATGCGTTTTTGAGAGATAGCAGATGCACGAAACCCTATGTTTTTCCATACAAAGTCCGTCCCCGAACCTCGATGATCTACCTCTGCGGTGCGACGGGTGCGAGACGGTCTCGTGTGTGGTCGGATCATGGTCGGATATGCTCGGATCATTCTCGGATCGCTTCCGCATTGTAAATGGGGTGTCAACTGTGTTTTCGTGCATGTGTGGTCGACAGAATTCCATTGTGATTTGCAACTGTAGGATCGTTCCCGCATTGTAAATGGGATTGCAAGTGGTGCTGGTGGATGAGTTGCTGATGGAATTCCATTGTGATTTGCAACTCTAGGATCGTTCCCTCACTGTAAATGGGATTGCAAGTGGTGCTGGTGGAGGAGTTGCCGATGGAGTTTTGAAGGAAGTCTCGCACGAAATGCGTTTTTGAGAGATAGCAGATGCACGAAAGCCTATGTTTTTCCATACAAAGTCCGTCCCCGAACCTCGATGATCTACCTCTGCGGTGCGACGGTTGCGAGACGGTCTCGTGTGTGGTCGGATCATGGGCGGATATTCTCGGATCATGGTCGGATCGGTTCCGCATTGTAAATGGGGTTTCAACTGTTTTTCGTGCATGTGTGGTCGACAGAATTCCATTGTGATTTGCAACTGTAGGATCGTTCCCGCATTGTAAATGGGTTGCAAGTGGTGCTGGTGGATGAGTTGCTGATGGAATTCCATTGTGATTTGCAACTCTAGGATCGTTCCCTCACTGTAAATGGGATTGCAAGTGGTGCTGGTGGATGAGTTGCCGATGGAGTTTTGAAGGAAGTCTCGCACGAAATGCGTTTTTGAGAGATAGCAGATGCACGAAAGCCTATGTTTTTCCATACAAAGTGCGTCCCCGAACGTCGATGATCTACCTCTGCGGTGCGACGGGTGCGAGACGGTCTCGTGTGTGGTCGGATCATCCTCGGATCATGCTCGGATCATTCTCGGATTGGTTCCGCATTGTAAATGGGGTTTCAACTGTTTTTCGTGCATGTGTGGTCGACAGAATTCCATTGTGATTTGCAACTGTAGGATCGTTCCCGCATTGTAAATGGGGTTGCAAGTGGTGCTGGTGGATGAGTTGCCGATGGAATTCCATTGTGATTTGCAACTCTAGGATCGTTCCCTCGCTGTAAATGGGATTGCAAGTGGTGCTGGTGGAGGAGTTGCCGATGGAGTTTTGAAGGAAGTCTCGCACGAAATGCGTTTTTGAGAGATAGCAGATGCATGAAAGCCTATGTTTTTCCATACAAAGTCCGTCCCCGAACCTCGATGATCTACGTGCAATTTCCGACGCCGTTGCGCGTAGTTCTATTGTGTTTTGCAACTCACATTGTCATGGCTGCGTGAAGGTTGCTTCATGTTGTGGCTGCATTCGTAAATCGTATTGGAGTGGCTGCATGAAGGCTGCCACAGTGATTTGTCAGCAGATTTTCTCCATTTTGGCGCTAATGATTTTCCTTCTAAAAATCCTTTTAAAAAGTGCTTCAAAATCGTTTTTTTTCCGCTCTGGCGTCGAGATCCAGTTTTGGAGCTACAATTTCCGACGCCGTTGCGCGTAGATCTATTGTGTTTTGCAACTCTGACTCTGCAGATCGCATTGTAATGGCTGGGTCAAGGTTGCTTCGTGCTGTGGCTGCATTGGTAATACTAGTGTCTTTTGCAGCTGGATCTCGTAAATCGTATTGGAGTGGCTGTATAAAGGCTGCGACATGGATTTGTCAGCAGATTTTCTTCATTTTGGCGCTAGTGATTTTCCTTCTAAAAACTCTTTTAAAAAGTGTTTCAAAATCGTTTTTTTTTGTGCTCTGGCGTCGAGATCCGGTTGTGGAGCTACAATTTCCGACGCCGTTGCGCGTACTTCTATTGCGCTTTGCAACTCAGTCTCCGCAGATCGCATTGTAATGGCTGCGTGAAGGTTGCTTCGTGCTGTGGCTGTATTCGTAATACTATTGTCTTTTGCAGCTGGACTTCGTAAATCGTATTGGAGTGGCTGCATGAAGGCTGCGACAGTGATTTGTCAGCAGATTTTCTCCATTTTGGTGCTAGTGTTTTTTTGTTGCACGTAGGTTTAGAGCAGTGTGAAGTGTGGGGCGTGGAGAGTGCAGTGTGAAGTGTGCAGTGTGAAGGAAGCAGTGGGAAGTGAGAAGTGTGAAGTGTGGAGTGTGAAGTTTCAGTTTGGAGTGCGAAGAGCGCAGTGTGAAGTGTGAAGTGTGAGGTTTGGAGTGTGAAGGAAGCAGTGAGAAGTGAGAAATGAGAAGTGTGAAGTGTGAAGTGTGAGTGAAGTGTGGGGTGTGAAGTGCGAAGTGAGAAGTGTGAAGTGTGAAGTTTGGAGTGTGAAGGTTGGAGTGGGAAGGAAGCAGTGAGAAGTGAGAAGTGTAAAGTGTGGACTGTGAAGTGTGGAGTGTGAAGTGCGAAGTGAGAAGTGTGAAGTTTGGAGTGTGAAGGAAGCAGTGAGAAGTGAGAAATGTGAAGTGAGAAGTGTGAAGTGTGGACTGTGAAGTGTGGAGTGCGAAGAGCGCAGTGTGAAGTTTGGAGTGTGAAGGAAGCAGTGAGAAGTGAGAAGTGTGAAATGTGGAGTGTGAAGTGTGAAGTGCGAAGTGAGAAGTGTGGACTGTGAAGTGTGAAGTGTGGACTGTGAAGTGTGGACTGTGAAGTGTGGACTGTGAAATGTGAAGTGTGCAGTGTGAAGTGTGAAGTGTGAGGTTTGGAGTGTGAAGGAAGCAGTGAGAAGTGAGAAGTGTGGAGTGTGAAGTGTGGAGTGTGAAGTTTGAAGTTTGGAGTGCGAAGAGTGCAGTGTGAAGTGTGGAGTGTGAAGACTTTGCTTCGTCTCTCGCTGAAAAAAAAGGCCGCTTGTCGAGGGAAGGACACGGTCGGGACAGGGTGTCTTTGAACTATAGGTCATTTATGTTTGGGAAACTTCCGCCGCCGGCTTGCCCGGGTCTATGTTACCGAGAAGTATTTTTACGCAAGTCTTGTGGTAAAAAGGAAGTCAAACTGATGGAAAAGAAGAGGTGGGAATAGTCAGAGAAGAGAATAAATGAGAAGAGAAGAGAAGAAAGAAGATCAGAGAAGAGAAAGTGCCAGAAGAAGAAGATGCAGGTGGGCGAATGCAGAGTGCCGAGTGAGGAGCACAGGGTAAGTATTGTTTTCAGCATATCTTCAGTCTTTTTTGCCTTTACCTATCTGCGCATTCATTCAACACATGCATTCGGGTTCGTGGATTCTATCAGGTTCTTGTCTTCCTTCCATAGGTGTAAGAAACCAGGCACCACAATGTCACACATGGAGCACCAAGAACAAGACTTCAACGATTCTTGAGGCATTAAAAGAACGTCCCTGTTCATGTTTTTTGCGTTCCTTGGCGGGTTCTTCAACACGGCACCCAGGTCTTTGCAGGAATGACCATGTGGTCCTTGGCAGCGAACCTGTCCGCCGGTTTCATGCTGGAGCCGCTTGATAGACAGCGTTGAATGGTGCTCCAATTGGCCTTCTGTTTCGGGGATGAAGGGGGCCAAAGCACAATGATGAGTTCATAGCTGAGATTGTGAAAAAAGGGCTTTCCAAACAGCGTGCTCAGGCTATCGGGTTTTTGCGAGTAAAGTCCGATTCCGCAACTTCTCCGGATTGCGCAACTAGGATTGCGCAACTCTTTGGTCGGATTGCGCAACTTGGCTTGCGCGACTTCCAGGATTGCGCAACTCAGCTTGCGCAACGTCCAGGATCGCGCAACTCTGCTTGCGCAACTTCCAGGATTGTGCAATTCTGCTTGTGCAACTACGCTGGCCGGATTGCAACTCTGCAACTACACCTCGTCCAAACAATTCCACCCTGCACAGAACTTGAAAATGACACATGCCGTCCCAAAGAGCAAGACGTTATCAAAATTCCCACCCCCATGCAACTTCAAACTGACTTGGGGTCTCCACAAAGTTAAGATGATATAGAAATTCCCACCCCTATGGAACTTCAAACTGACTTGGAGTGTCCACAAGGTTAAGATGATATCAAAATTCCCACCCCCATGGAACTTCAAATTGACTTGGAGTCTCCACAAGGTTGAGAAGATATCAAAATTCCCACCCCCCTGGAACTTCAAACTGACTTGGAATCTCCACAAGGTTAAGATGATATCAAAATTCCCCGCCCCCATGGAACTTCAAACTGACTTGGAGTGTCCACAAGGTTAAGGCGATATCAAAATTCCCATCCCCATGGAGCTTCAAACTGACTTGGAGTGTCCACAAGGTTAAGATGATATAGAAATTCCCACCCCCCTGGAACTTCAAACTGACTTGGAGTCTTCACAACAATGTTAAGATGATATCAAAATTCCCACCCCCATGGAACTTCAAACTGCCTCGGGGTGTCCACAAGGTTAAGATACTATCAAAATTCCCAGCCCTGTGGAACTTCAAACTGACTTGGGGTCTCCACAAAGTTAAGATGATATAGAAATTCCCACCTCTATGGAACTTCAAACTGACTTGGAGTGTCCACAAGGTTAAGATGATATCAAAATTCCCACCCCCATGGAACTTCAAATTGACTTGGAGTCTCCACAAGGTTGAGAAGATATCAAAATTCCCACCCCCCTGGAACTTCAAACTGACTTGGAGTCTTCACAACATTGTTAAGATGATATCAAAATTCCCCGCCCCCATGGAACTTCAAACTGCCTCGGGGTGTCCACAAGGTTAAGATAATGTCAAAATTCCCACCCCTGTGGAACTTCAAACTGACTTGGAGTCTCCACAAGGTTAAGACGACTATGAAGTCCTTGGCGCGACGCGTCTGGAAGTTGTGGGAATGAGTTCGGACGTAGCAGAGAGAAAAAAAAGGTGCTAGACTGCTGCTGCAACAGGGGAGTGAGTTTCAAGATTTGTAACGATTTTCAAACATCAGATTGTGAAACTTGGACGTCGCATTCTGAGATTTGAGGCTTTGATTATGAAACTTGGAGTTTCACAGTTTCCTGATCTGTCTTCAGAATTTCGCAGTACCCGTGAAACAATTTCCACCTAAAGTTTCACCATCTCCCTGCAGAGTTTCACAATTTGTCTTCAGAGTTTCACAATCCCAGTTTCACAATCCGCCCCCAGGGTTTCACAGTCCGCTTTCAGAGTTTCACAATCCCACTTTATAGTTTCAATCCGAATTTCAAGTTTCACAATACAAGTTTCACAATCCGTACAGCAAGTTTCACAATCCAATTTGCACAGTCCGCCTGGGAAGTTTCACAATCCGACCGGGAAGTTTCACAATCCGACGTTGACCGGTTTTTGCGTTCTTTTTTTTGGTGCCCTTAATACAAGGCAAAAGTTGGTGGGGTCCGCTTTTTAGATTTTAGACCTCTTTTGCGGCCATGTTTGGAGCTCTATACGTTTGGTGTGCAAGGCGCAAGCTTGTCGCCACTTTTGGGTCAGGACCGCGTTCCTTGCAGCAAGCTCACGATTGCGGCCTGCCTTCATGCCCATGGCCTGCGTCCTCTTTCGCGCGCGTTGGCAAAAACGGCACCGGGCGTCGCAGGGGTCAAAATGAGAGGCGCCGCTGATTGCTTGCAGCAGCCGCAGTACTTGGTGAACTCGGACAATGTTTTGAAAGGCCGAAAACGTTTTTGTGATGCTGCGGTTTTTTGGTTTGGCACCTGGCGATCATGTTGCGCGGCAGGCGCAATACTCCGAATGCCCAGGTTCATTTTTCGTGGCAGCGGCGACCATTGCACCAGTGTCCAAAACCTTGGTGGGCAGTCGCTTATCACATGTTCAACTATAGGCGGGCACCTTTTGATAAAATTCTACGGTTCGCTCGGGCGATCCTTCTTCACTTTGCATATGGCGCGTTCTCGTAGTGGTGCGCGGCTCATCTTGATATCCCCCCAAACCTCCTCGTCACTTTGCCCGTGTGGGGCCGCTCTTGTTAAAGCAAGGTGCTCATTTTGATAGCTTTAGCGCAACCACGACTTGCTTTTGCACGGTCGCCCTTGTGGCACAGAGATCTCAAATGCAAGCTTTTTCAGCTTTCCTCCCCTTCGCTCGATCCTTTTGGCTTGTTCAACTTGTGTTTTTTGTCTCATTTCCAGGCACAACTAGTCGACAATTTTGGTATGCCCTTATAACCTTATCTAAACCCAAGAGCCATGAAACCACTGGTTTCTTACAATGCTTTACGTTGTGGGGCGTTTAATGGTGCAAAGGGAGGTGCGATGATAGGGTGCAGTGGTACGATGTATGTGGTACAGTGGTGCGGTGTCATGGTGCGTGTGTGGTGCGATGGTACGGTGCAATGGAGCGATGGTACGGTGCAATGGTGCGACGGTGCGGTGCAATGCCCCATTGTACCAATTTGTTGCACCAGTGTACCCCAGTGCACCCATCGCACTGCACCGAAAAAATTGCTGCCAAAACGCGTTTTTTTGCTACCAAAACTTGCATTTTTGCTGACAAAAAGCTTTTTTTTGCTATCAAAAAATGGTGCGGTGGGCCGGGTGCAGTGGTACAGTTGACTGGTACCCTGGTACAGTCGTAGGGTACAAGTCAGTAGATATGTACCATTGAACCGCACCATCGCACCATTGCACCGCACCATCGCACCATTGCACCGCACCATTGCACTCTTACACCGCACCATCGCACCACATGATCGCCCCAGTGTACCAGTTCACTTGCACCTCCGAAAAGCATGTTTCGTACCATCCGGGGGATAGCCACAAGAGGGGCGAGCACTCGCTTGTGCACTTATGATTTGCCTCGCTTGTGCACTTGCGATTCTCCTCGCTTGTGCACTTATGATTTTGTTGTCAATGCCATTCGGATGCAAGCCTCCTGTGCCATGGGGCACAGTAACGTGTTAGTTTTAGACATGCACGTCCTCTTTGGCACAACATTGTTAATGCAAAACATGTGGAACTGCGTTCCCCCCTGCCCCCCCCTTCCCCCCTGTTCCCCCCTCCCCCTTTTGTTCCCTATACATCCCCCCCTCCCCCACCCCCTCCTCCCTGTTCCCTACACACCCCCCCCCTCACCCTGTTCCCCCTCCCCCTGTGATTTATTTTGTTTTACGTGTCTACACAATGCATTCATGCATGTTGACATGTACACTTAATTCATATCTTTCATGCGCACTCCGCATGGCTCAAGACTAGCAGCAAACCGCTTAGGTTAGAAAAGAGTGTGCAGTCGCCGTCGCTGACCGCAGGTGTTCATAGGTCTCCAGGGCTCCCCTAATAGAGGGATAGCTACCTCAAAGTGGTAGCGGAGCCTGTGCCTTCGCCAAGTCTAGATCTGTGTGCCGAACTGCCGTTCTCTGCATACATTCCGTATATCGGACTTGCGGAGGCAACCTGTAGGTCAAGTTAGAGTAGCTGCCATGGTCTTAATCCACAACATGGATTCAGATGAAGAACAACTCCAGATTGTCTCTTATGAAGAGCCTGAAGCATATGCCGCCACCAGTCATTCCGAAAACCGGATGGGCATCAAAATGACACCGAAGGTTCCACCCCAATTTGATGGCCAATCAAGCTGGTTTGAATATGAAGATTTAATTGATGACTGGTTAGGGATCACAACATTGGATGCAGATAAACACGGACCATCATTAAAGAATGCCCTCATTGGTTCCGCTTCTTTTTATAAGTCGATGCTCGATAATGCCCTACTCCGAGATCCGGATCGTGGCCTCGCTCATTTCAAGGACACATTGAGACCATGCTTCGTGAAGGGAGTAAATCATGTGTTCCTTTGGCGATTCCTCCAGATGTTTCGCACATATCGAGGCCAGAGCGAATTCGTGCACTGGATAGGGCGATTTGAGATCGCGCAGAAGCGTTTGTTGGCTTCTTGGTCCGATCTGCTGGACATATCCGATCTCCCCGAGGCAGGCACTCAGGCATTTACAGCAGCACTCACAGATGAGCAAAGACTGCACTATAATGGAATAGTAACAGATGAAGATAAGCTAGCTTATCAACAAGAATTGAGAGAGCAGACCATAACCAACAGAAGGACCAGACATGCACAGCAGTTTCCATTGTCAGACAATTTGATGTCACTGATTTTTCTAGTGCAAGCAGACCTCAACGAGCAACAGCGCGAGCGCTTTGTCTCGTCCATGAACATCCGTCAGATTGCAATGCCTCAATACACCTATCTCCAAGTGAAACAGCTGTTCTTAGAACTTTTTGCCGTTTCCCGCACAGGTGTTGCAGACCCAAATATCACGCACCGCAAGCGGTCCAACTTCTACGTCATCGACGAGGGCGAGACCGAAGAAGGTGAGTACGGATTTTGGGTTTTCGACGAAGAGACGGGTGAAGAAGGTTTCACAGGTCTGTACACCGAGAACGAGTTCTGGGTTCTCAGCGCCAAGGGTTCATACTCTAAGCGCCGCATCTACGGCAGGTCCTTCAAGAAAGGTAGACCAAAAGGTTATGGCAAGAAAGGAGGAAAGAAATCAAGACCCGGCTTCCGCTCGAGGTCAAAAGGCAAAGGTTTTGCAGCATGGGAAGATGACCAGCAAGACACAGCTTTCTGGGGAAAAGGCAAGGGCAAA